GGCGGTCGTGTCAGGTGTCTAGGTACGCATGTGAGTGTATGCAACGTAAGGAAAATATGGAGTCGTGATTGGTGACCCCTATTAATTGTGAAATGCTAATATCATCTAACGACACGGGCAACTAATCGGAATGGATGGAGGCTGCTGGGACAACAGAAGAGCCAGACCATGAACACTGCTCTCTTATCGGGACATCAAGTTCACGGGCAACTCTCGATCTAATTATAGAACCTAAATTTCGAAAGACATGGCATTTATTTATATGCAACCGGCCAGGCTGATGTCGTGGTTCCTCACAAACATGTCGGCTAGCTAGCAAATCAAAGCTCCATGATAATAAATGAATAATCAATGCTCCATCTCTACATATATTTATGATATTTTAAAAAAATTAAATGAATTCGATTTCAACCATTACTACGGAAGAAAGAAAGCATGTTTCGGCAAAAATGTTTATAATGAATCATCGATTAACATAATTCTTATATTAATAATGAAATTCAAACACGCAATCTTTTACGAATAGATAAACTGTCCTTAATATTTATGATACTTTTGTGATGTGATATAAGTGAGATTGAAAAGGTAGACGTGCAGATTAAAAAAATGATTAGAAAAAAAAATATTTATAATAAACAAATCAAAAAGAATTTTTTGCAATGGATACTGGTGGACTTGTTTATTAGTCAATGAACGGTGAAGATTATTGCTGCGTGCCACATGCATTGACCCCTCAAATTTCGGCAGCAGCCCCCAACAAGATGGGAGGAAAGGAAATGTGTGGAGACCTCTGCGCAAAATGCTTGAATATCTTCAAAAGTAACCAGCAGAGTTCTTCAGTGAACAGTTAGGTTTGGACTTGGGACGTCCTTGCCGCCTCGGGTATAGGATCATGCGAGTGGAGTACGGTGGATAATCATCCTTGCTTGTTTGGCAGCACCAGAAAAATGTCATCATCTCAAGTCTTTTCTTGATAATTGTTCACAGGAGCAACAACGGTAGCATAGTAGTTGGCATTTGGCCATTTCGAGTAGTTTTCCAAGATTCGAATGATGATGGCCTGACTCTTCTTCCTCGAGGCCTAGAGCTAATACTACCTGGTCTTGGAATGATATATGATCACCCCAACAATTCACCATCACTGTTAAATTAATTACTTGGCCTGTACTGTACTTCTTTTTCTTTTCTTTTTTTTAATCACCCCAACAATTCACCATCACTGTTAAATTAATTACTTGGCCTGTACTGTACTTCTTTTTCTTTTTTTTTTTAAAAAAAAAAAAAAAAAACTACTCGGGCTGTTGTTAGGGTTGGTCACTGACAAATACTAGTACTCCAAACAAATTTGAAGAAGGGAATAATTTTCCTTGACTTCATCACTACATATCGAAAGAAGAATCACTTCGTTTAAAGAAAGTAATTTACAAGAATCATGGCATCAGTAAATCAGAAAAAGTATATATATATATATGTGTGTGTGTGTGTGTCAATCTCTTACCCCAAGTCATACTAGTAGTATTTTGCCCAAATGATGAGGCCTTCGAGAGGTTTTTGCTAAACACTCCAATTTACGGAGCAAGGAATAGTTGCAAAAGCAATAATATCAACTGCAGAGCAAAACATTTTAGGATTGAATCCCCATTCGACCGTAGTTCCCAATTTGACTTTAGTTCCAATAATTACTTCGCCAATTGAAAACCAAAACAGTCAAACACTGTTGTACATCATTTTTTTACCATAGAAGTGAGTCCCACATGGTGCGACTCCAATGTGTCTTGTTGCCGTGTGCTATTTATTTACGTCATTTTTGTCTGTGATTGTGCACCAAACATCTCAGCTCTTCTTAGACGAGTTAGTTTTTACTTTCCAGATGAAGCGGTTTCATTATGTGTATATAATCGTGCCTGCTAGAAGGATTGGCTTATGCTTAATGACATCATTTGATCATAAATCGTTTGGTAAATTAAATAAGATGATTTTTTTTACCGAGCGCCTAGTAAGCATTTACTAGTACACCTAAATTACCACATAAGTAAACACACCAGTAAGTAATTGTTACCCCATCTCACGTTTATTATATACTATCTCTATTAGGTACCGACTTAGCATTTGTTAGCGCACCTAAATTATATCATATCATATATCTCCCCTACATAAACTCTATTTTTTTGAAAATATCAACACTCGTCCTCAATTAAATAAGATGATAGAGGAGTATTAGCCCTTTCCCCAATATATCTACTCCTTATGCATTTAACGCATTCTTATGGTTTAGATGTTTTTTTTTTTGTCGACGGAGTGGGTGTTCGGGTCAATTCAGTAAAGGCGGCCGACTAATCCCACTTTGGCCCGGTCCGGCCCGACGCCCCAACCAGACCTAGCACGTTAGATGCACGGATGGTTTAGATGTTAATGAGCACTACTTTCCGTGAGCGCGCAATGTATTTTATTTTCAGAGTGGCTCAAGTAAGATGCTCATTCACTACAAGTTACTGGATGTTTTAACGTGGCTGAAAAAATCAAAATGTACGCTGTTTCCTAAATGTCAGAAATGGACGCCGAAGCCGAGCGCAAAAAACTTTTACAGACACGGGAGTCGTTTCGGTGGAGTTCCGGCCCAGATTAGGCTCCCATTAATGGGCTCACTCATGGGGTCACAGGTTTACAGCAGATGGGCGTGTACTTTGCAGAGTGATCCAATTGAGGCTACAAGTGGTTGAACTTGGGCAGGGCCCATGTCCACAAGTTCAATGCTGTTTTGGGTCGGGTCAAAAGCTACAAAACCGGCCCATGTAATTTCCAATTGTTCTTGTGTTTATCATGGAGCATAAAAGACGAAATTCCCATGAAACGGAATCAGATCTGCTGTCAACTTAGGAATCACTTAGCAATGGAAAGGAATTTTCTGACTTGTTCATTTCATTCTCATATTTAATATGAATCTTTTGAGTTAGAAAAGTCTCTTCCTCTGAAGAACTGAGTTTAATTTTTCTTGAAATCTATTTTTTACAAAATTCTAAGGGAAGTTTTTTCTAACTTTATATTAAAATGTCCAAAATTATTGGAATCAAGTTTATTCTCGTGCACTCTTTGTTTTGTTAGCAATGAGTAGACGTTTTGTTAGTTTAATCAATAATTGATCATTATTTTTTGACAAACTATTCTAGTTATTTTTTTACAATATTTTTCTATTTCAATTTTAAGATATTGTTCTTTTAAACTTCTGTGCAAATATATGAGGATTTTTTTTTTTTTTTTTTTTGGGCGCACGTCAAGCTTCCAATCTTCTCCTTCCCATCATGCCAGCATGTATCGTGTAGTCGCGACTCTCAAGACGCAACCCATAGAGCTAATTTTAGGGGCCTTCTTTTCGTCGGAAAATTCTCATTGCAATTTGCAAGCAAGATAAACGGTATGAGTTTTACTGAGGAAGAAAATTTGACAGACAATTGTTTGGAAAGCAAGAAAAATTGTAACATTTTTCGTAAATATATTTTTCAATCACTTTTTTATTTTACATATATCAAATTATTACAATAATTTTTCTATAAAAAATTTTAAAAAAATGTAATCCAAACATGACCTAAACCACGCTAATTAAGCAAGTGGTTTATGAAAACAGTCGTAAAAGCTTTCTTCTGCCTCCTCAGGAATACAGGACACACTTGAGGAAAAAGGACAGATAACCCAAAAAATTTTCTTGAAAAGAAAAAAAAAAAACAAAGGGACGTGAAAGAGAGGAGAGAAGGGGGGGGGGGGGGGGGGGGAGGGACATTAACAAGGAAGAATAAAGGGGCGAGCTGGACGCTGGACTGGAGTATACAGGACTGTGCTAGCTGTAGTTTTGTAAAATTTGCAATAGACAGCTGGTGTCGTAATAGGCCTTTTTTCTTTTTCTGGCAGCAATGGCAGGAGCAGGATAAAGACGCTGATGACGTGTCAAAGTAGTTTGGTGAAACGGATACAGCTAAATTGCAAACAAAAAAATGGGAAAAATATATATATATATATATATTATTTTCTGACCCATATTGGATGAAGCCTATGTATGTATACATGCCGGAAAGTTGACAAGATGCTGCATGCCCACCTCCTCCTGCTAATTTACTTTGTTTTGAAGGTAATTCCTACGTATGCTTGAACCAGCAGTCTGTACAAAAAATTTAAAACTCTCAAGCAACTGAAATTCCAACGAGCCTGAGAATCATGAAAGAGAAAATGACCATTGCGTTTGGATGGGAGATTATTTGAAATATTAAGTATAATGCTTTTTTTTTGTGATGTAACATACGTGAGATAAAAAAATAATTATTTGAATAAAAATTACCTTGAAAAATATATTTATAATGCAAACAAACAAATTTTTGCCCAAATAATTGCCATCCAAATATATGTTAAAAGTTTATTACTCCTACATGTTTCATGTGATTAATTAAAAAATACAAGTATTTTTTTCAAAATGTCTTTTGAAATGTGTGAAATATGAAATTTTTTTTGAAGATACGTACGAACATATATTGTACGAGTATAATATGAGCATTTATTTATAGCAATGAGTGTGTTTGGATTGAGATGATTTGAAAAAAATAATTTGCTTCACAAATCTCAATCATCTTTTATTTTTTTCAATCACCATTTTATGTTACATACATCATATCACAAAAAGTGCTAGATTAATTATCTCAAATAAATCATCAAAATAAACTCCCATCGAAACAAACTCGTTAATATGTTTATCCAAGATTCCAAATTAAATTCATGCAGAATTTTGTATTTTGCTCTCATGAAATTGCAATTCAAAGTGAGGATAGGTTTGTGGGGGGGGGGGGGATATAAACATAAAGTGAACATAGAAATTACATACAAATATTCTTTTGTTTTCAATTGTTATAACGAAAAGGCAATAATATACATGAGCCGTACGTACTGGTCACTCTCTCTATCTCTCTCTCAGATTTTATTTTATTTTATTTTTTCCTTTTTTTTTCTCGAGAGAGAGAGAGTGTGTGTGTGTGTGTGTGTGAGAACTGAAGTTAACATTGGATACACATATGCGCCTGCATCAGCAACACCAGCAGCAGCGGCATCACCACTCCACCCCTGTACATGCTGAATATTGTTTAAATTAAAAAGAAAAAAGGAGGAGGGTTTCGTCGTAGCTTTCCGACTGGATTCTCCCATTCTCCTTCCAATCTCCAAGGGCTTACGCCGCTGGTTCATTGGCTTTGTCGATTAAGTCTTGCAACACCGCCTCTGTCTCTTGCTTAAGCTCTCGTTCGCTCTCTTCGGCTCCACTCCTGTCGTTCCTTTCCTAAACCCTAACTTACCTTCCCGCCAATACCTAGGTTAGGGTTTCCCCAGGGAAAGAGTTACCACTTGATTTATTCGATCTCTGTTATGAGTTGCAATCCGAAATTCGTCCGATTAGGGCAGGGTTAACAGGGTTTCTGTGTCAGAGAGAGAGAGAGAGAGAGAGAAGGGGGTTGGTGTGATTCCTTGAATTTGAATGGCATTGGGTGATTCGATGGCTTCTAGATTTTCGCAATCATCTATGGCCTTGGCGGTGGTGTCCAATCATCTCGAGGAGTTAAATATTAGCACTAGTACTACCGGTAATAATAGCATTAATCATGAGGATGGTGAGAGGAGTGTTAGGGATTCGGAAACTGCTAGTAGTAGTTATGTTGCTGTGCGCGATGACGACGACAAGCATGGCCTATTTGCCTCAGACCCTGGTACTATGTGAGCTCCGGCATGACGCTTTTGAGGGTTCCTTGCCCTCTGGCCCGTCTGACAGTGGCTTGGTCTCCAAATGGCGGCCTAGGGACCGGGTAAACTTCCTTTCCTTCCCCATCCCCTATATCATTTTTTTCCCTTGTTTTTCATTTTGTGGCATTTTCTGGCATGTACTCTCTTTGGTTTCAGTTAGCTTTTTGTTTGTATTTTGCTAATTACATTTGGAATGTCGAGGAAATCAAAGAAGATTTTTTTTAAGCTCTTATTAAATGGACTTCATGATTATCAAATTAATTACTGCCCATGCATACATATTCATTAAATGCCACATTTTGGTAACTGATACACCTTACTCGTATTGTATCGCGTATATGCGATTTTTTTTTGCATTATTTGTAGTGTTAGTCAAGATTTTGGAAGCCAGGTGGTGATTAGATACTTTATCAGTATCATTCTGCATGGTCCTTGGGGCTCACGTGGGTATGCATTTGTTGATGAGATGTTCAGTTTGTGTGAAAGTGGTAAAGACTTTTATTCTTATGCTTTAGCAAAATTAGTGCGTAGCAACTTTGAATGAAGTTTTATGTTTTTTATGGGTTGCGCCTAGGCTGCATGGCATTTAATGTGCTGTTAGAGATTTTGAGCCGGGGTCAAATTTGTTGGATGAATTATGTGGCCTAGCATAGCTGCTTTTGTGTGAATACTGAGCCATATGTGATGGTAATAATGATATCTAACAAGGTTTTCGGGGAAGATAAGTCAAAAAGAGTTATGTGGCTGGTCGTCCGATGAGTGCTCATGATGTACTATTTAATGTACTTTAGATTGTAAGCATAATGATTAGTAATCTTTTAGCTGAAGGAGCTTCTCTTTTTGCCACATTTCAGACTTGCAGTGTTCTTTTAGCATGTGAATAGTACTTTATCTAATCCAACAATAAAACCAGCCTTTCACAATGTGTAATTTTAACCATTTTATTTATTATTTGTTTAATGCACTACTATACTTGCATACATTTTCTTCAACGTGGCAAGAAAGATCTATTTTATGGTCAAGTTCTGTCACTTCTGGATGCACTTAATTGCAGGCAAGGAAAGCCTATAATTTTATTCTTGTTAATGCGAATTTGGAATTTACTGCTGTTTGACACAAGTTCTGTTGCTAAATTTTCCGTTAGAAATTAAAAACATAATGCTAAGTTATCCGTTGATTAGTGGCAGTGGCAAGAAGGTGTTAGTTTATAGCAATTATGGATCATGCATACACTTCAAAAGGGAGATTGGGGCTCTGTAGCTGTTACTCTAAGTTTAAAGGATCACTTATGATATAGCATCTTCTACGCAAAGAATTTGCAGACATCACGACTTCAAGAAGTTAACTTTTGCTCAGCAACAGAATTTTTTAATGACTTTGCTTTTGAGTAGTCCTGGTTTTCATAAATAAGCCTTTCCTACAAGGCTTCTTTCCAAAATCAGGTCTTTTTCTTAGAGGCTAGGGCTTATTCTCCTGTTCCCATATGGAACATTGGGATCAGTGACAGTGATCTACTTTTTATTTTAAAACTTTCATCTCAGGAGATTCTATTTCCGTGCTATGTTACAAGGTGTTGTAAAGTGGAATATATTGTTGTTAACATGTTTTTGCATGTCCTTTGATGCCTGTTCAAATTAGGATCATTGAAGTTTGTTACTACAGAGGAGTTCAAAGTTCAGCACGAAGCATCTGTAATGAAGTTAGTGCTGGTTTTCTCAAATAAAGCCTTTCCTACTAGGTTTTTTCCCCAAAATCATGCCTTTTTATTGAGTCTAGGACTTACTCTCCTGTTTCCATATGGCAATATTGATCAGTGATAGTAAGCTACTTTTGATTTTAAGAATTTCATCCTTAGGAGCTTCTATTTCCGTGCATAGTGACAAGGCGGTGTAAAATGGAATATCTTCTTGTTAACATGTTTTTGCATGTCCTTTGATGCCTGTTCAAGTTAGGATCATTGAAGTTTGTTTCTAAGAGGAGTTCAGGTTCAGCAGGAAGCATCTGTAATAAAGTGATTTCATAGGTTAGTGAAGACAAAGTCATGGAAAGGTTCAATTTAGTAACGTTAATAAAAGTAGCTTTGGTGGCATAAACATTGATATGGTTGGTGATGGCAGGAACTCTAGATGCTGCATATTCCCTTTGAACAATCAATTTAGTTCACTTGAAGTTGATTTCGTTTGAAGTTATACCATTTGAAATATTATCCTGTTGCCCAAGTATAGTTCCACGCATTCTCATTATGATTTGCAAGGTTGTGAGCAAATTTGGGCTATTTTATTTTAAGTGGGTGAGGTTCGTGCTTGTGGCCTCTAAATAAAGAAAGAGACATTGGAAATTGGCTATAGAGTACACTAATAAGGCTTAATTAATCAAGAATGAAAGAAAATGTTATCTGATATTTCTCTTAATTAAAGAAAGATATTGATAAGTATGATACGGTTGGATGCATCTTGCATACAATTGGTAGAGAAATGGTTCAAACTTTTTATTTGGGATAATTAATTGACTGAAACTTGGTAAATCCTTGAACACATTTTCAGAAACGAGGTTCTGATATATGGTTTACGTGTGCTTGACTGACTGTTCTGTTTATTTGCTTCATGGTTCTTTTGCTAGCTGGTACTATGTCTTCTTTTAGTTCATATCTGTATAGATTCTTCTTCTTCTTCATCTCTCTCTCTCTGCCCTTTTTTTGTTACTGATGTACTTTGTCCATCATTGTTTATAACATTCATCGCAGATGAAGACGGGATGTGTTGCCCTTGTTTTATGTTTAAACATTAGTGTTGATCCACCTGATGTAATAAAGATATCTCCTTGTGCCCGGATGGAGTGCTGGATTGGTATACTCAATATCTTTCGTACTTCTCGTTTTTATCTATTGTTAGCTCTGATGATTATACTTTATCTTCAGCCATATCTCATGATGTTGAGTTTTCACTTGTTGATTTCTTATACTGTTGAAAAATCTTATGAGAATTTTTCAATAAAATATGCTTTTCCTTCACATAATGATTAATTCAGTGAGCTTCATGTGATGTTTGTATGTCTGTGGATGCTACTTTAATGCCTGTTCTAGGAGAAGTGTTTTTCTTCAAAAAAGGTCAGCATTGGCATGTTTAATTGCAAGGCTTGATATGTATTTTCATACTTTTATGATTTTTTTATTAACAATAATATCCAAAATGTACAACCATGTGGCCATTTGAACCAATATGAGAATGGAGCTTACCTTCTTTCTCTTGCATATTGGAATCTTCATTACTAGCGTGCAACGACTTGTATTATCCTGTTCGATGGTGTTTCTGCTGCTCAGATTTGTGATACTTTACACATCCTTCTTCCCTGATTTCTGTTTTCCATATATCTTCCGTATTTTATATGTTCTTCTAGCTTTAAGACTATATTTATGAGATATGCGAATTCTTGTAAATTTTTTTTCTTATTTCCTCTATTATTTAACAAGAATTCCTCTCGGATGCCATTCCATTGTGCATGTACATGTATCTGCATTTTTTTTATTGATCCATTCATGCAATAAAGGCTTTGTCTTATTCTCGTTTCCCTTTTTTCCTGTGTTTCTTTTTGTTTGTTTTGTTGGATTTGGGGTAAGGATTTGGGTGGTGAAGAAATTGTGTAGGTGATTCACTCAAACTGGTATTTTGTGCCCATCCGGTGCTTGCTTATATTTATGTCCACCCTTGAAATTATAGTAGGTTAATATATTGAGGAGGATTGTCACGTTGTGGAATTACATTGGAGATATATACAGGCTCCTTTTGGAGACGCTATATTCAAGTTGTCCTTTTGTATAGCACTAATGAATATAGTAATTTATCTATCTTCTTTTCTTTTATGCAGACCCTTTTTCAATGGCACCTCAAAAAGCGCTTGAAACAATTGGAAGAACCTTAAACCAACAGTACGAGAGATGGCAGCCTAGAGTAAGGATTTTTGTTATTACTCTTTTTGCTGGCTCATGTCGTTGATTGGGTATTTTGCACATATTAGGTGATGATGTGGTCTGCATAACTTATATTCTTTTCCTAACATTCGTTCAGGCTCGCTACAAGATCTCTTTAGATCCCACTGTGGATGAAGTCAAGAAACTTTGTACAACTTGTCGTAAATATGCCAAGTCAGAGAGAGTTTTGTTTCACTATAATGGGCATGGAGTTCCAAAACCAACGGTCAATGGAGAAATATGGCTTTTCAATAAGGTTTGGTTACAGCAACTGGAGAGTTCTTCCCATGTCCTGTAATGGTTTTTTTTGTTCTTCTTCTAATTCTCTGTTGTATTTTAGAGCTATACACAGTATATTCCATTACCTATTGGTGACTTGGATTCTTGGCTGAAGACACCTTCAATATATGTCTTTGACTGCTCTGCTGCTGGGATGATTGTCAATGCCTTTGTAGAGGTATCATGATATGCTTTTGCATTTTATTTGCATAACCAGTGGCAGAGTTAATCTGCTTTTTGTTGATTTATTTTGCTAATTTTTTGCCTCATATTCTCACAGCTTCAGGACTGGACTGCTGCTGCTTCTGCTTCTTCTGGTCCTTCTGCTAGGGATTGCATTTTGCTTGCAGCCTGTGAAGCACATGAGACTCTTCCTCAAAGTGCTGAATTTCCGGCTGATGTGTTTACTTCCTGCCTTACAACTCCCATAAAAATGGCATTGAGATGGTAAGCTATAGTACCTTTTCCCTGATCCCTGTTCTTAGTTGAACCGTTAAAATTTTTTTTTTAAAATTAATATCAGTATTTTGTGTTTTTCTTTTTCCCCTCTCCTCTGTTTCTTCAAAGAATAGGTTGTACAAACATATCTTTTTGTAAATGAAAACATTTATATGCATGTACAGATACTTATTGCAACTTATGTATTTTTTATATTAGGAAAGTTAGTTGTTGATATCCATTTTAAGTGATACTAACATGCTAATAAAACTGAGCTAAGGTGTCATTGTTGTTGTTTTGTTGATGAATGTTTTATTATCTGTAGTTGTGTAAGAGAAGTTTTCGTTGTGTGTGTTTTTATGTTTGTGTTTGTCGCTTGCATCAAATCTTTGTGCTTGTGGAAATCATCTATCAAGTCGCTGTAGTTGGTGTGATGTGATGCAACTTTCTTGCGCTATGTACTTTATGTTGATTCTTGGTGATATCTTTCTGGGTTTTTATATGATAGTTATTTAGATATTTGTGTTTGATTTGACATTGCTTGTTTCTTTGTCTCATTTGCTGATGCCACTCACTTTCATTCCTTGTATGAAATATCTTGTCTTCCAGGTTTTGTACTCGTTCTTTGCTTCGTGAGTCTCTAGATTATTCACTTATAGATAGAATTCCTGGCCGGCAAACTGATCGGAAGACGCTTCTTGGAGAATTGAATTGGATTTTTACAGCAGTGACAGACACAATTGCCTGGAATGTTCTCCCACATGGTAGTGAATTATATATTGTGTTTTGCGTGATACTTTGGTGGTTCTTTCCTCTTCGATATGTATTTGAGCATTCTTCAACTTAAAAACCTGCAGATCTTTTCCAGAGATTGTTCAGGCAAGATCTATTAGTTGCGAGTCTGTTCCGTAACTTTCTACTTGCGGAGAGAATCATGCGCTCTGCCAATTGTTCACCACTTTCGCATCCCATTTTGCCGCCGACCCATCAACATCATATGTGGTAACTATTATAAACTCTTTACTCTGCTTCTATGTCAGTTGTTGTAGAACTGCAGAAAATATGTTGGAAGTATGATCCTTATCAAAATTTCACTCTGCATCTTATTCTCTGATTGCTTTATACACTTTAGGGACGCTTGGGATATGGCTGCTGAAATATGCCTTTCTCAGCTTCCAACTCTTGTTGAGGACCCTAATGCAGAATTCCAGGTTTGCCTTCTAGATTAATTTTTAGTATCTAGAAGTTTGTAGGATAAAAGAGATGGGATAATCAATAGCATCATATCCCTTCCTGTTGTTGCAGTCTGGTTTAATTTTTCTTTCTTTTTTGGTTTAAATTGTCAGCCTAGTCCATTCTTTACGGAGCAATTAACAGCTTTTGAGGTGTGGCTTGATCATGGATCCGATCTTAAAAAACCACCTGAACAGCTGCCAATTGTTCTTCAGGTAGGAATGTTTCCATCTCGAAATACCCCTCTGACTGAATTTTGGTTCTTTCTAAATTTTCATTGATGCAGGTGTCATAATTTCTGCATCTTTGATAACTCTAATTTTTTAGTTAATATCTATTGCCATCCATTGGCCAAATTACTACTTTTGGCGATTGGTGTTAGTGATTACTTGATGTGTAAATTGATTATTAAATAATCCATATGATATCTAAGGCCTAAAGTCTGGAGTAATGTAGTGTCACTTCATTGGGTTTTTCAAGAACACCCTTCACATGATTAACTAACCACCCACTCTACTTTTTCTTCTCCATCAATAGTCATTCACTCTCACCTTATAAGCACACTTAGTGTGCCTTGATACTAGTGTGAGATCATTTATATGACCATATTATCTTCTCAGCTTGTTAAAACTGGTTGATCATATCATTTTACTGGTGAACTGCATAATTTGAAGGGTTGTGCACTGATGAGTATGATGGTGGTCACACACTGATGATCTGACTGGCAGTTTTATGTGGTAATGTCCATGGAAGTTGGGAGAGATCATGCTGGCTTTATGTCATGAGTCTGGGATGATGTGAATCATTTTGACCCTTGATGCTTGTGTGTACCCTTTTGCTTTTCTGTCAGTCATTTCTATTCCTCCTTTGCCAGGTGAAAATTTAATCTAATATTGTCTATCCTATTGTAAGAATTTAATATGACAAATGATGGGTAGGATCTTTTTAGTGACTGTAGTAATTGGCACTGGTTGAGATAGGGAGCAGGAGAAGGCCACAGCTCCAAACGATACAAATAATTGCCATAATTTTGTACTATTGCAGTACTTAAGTCCTCATCTCAACGACTCAACCTAGCCGCTGATTTTCTTTTTTTTTTGGGGGGGGGGGGGATGCAAAAACAAAGACATTTGAAAGCTACATGCTTGCATTAGATGAAAATTGCAGTGCAACATGCTCAACTCTTGTTTCCTGGCTTGGCCACTAGTCACATTGGTTGCTTGCTTTGAATTTTGATTTAATGCTAGCAACGGTGAGGGTAGTCTAGTGGAAATGGTCTGAACGCTATCATTGTATTCATTGAAGCAGCAGTAGCATAATCACATGTCATATTTGAAATCACAGTTCCTTGATACTTTCATTTAGTGAATAGATAATGCTGTTTATTAAACTGTTAATGTACCTTGTACACCCATTTTATTCATAGATATGTGTAAATAAGTTTAGGTAATCTCCAGTTCTAGTTTTGAACTCCTATTTAGATTTGTCGAAGAATGTTGAGTTAAAAATTTCCTTCAGGTTATGCTGAGTTAAAAATTTCCTTCAGGTTTTTACACTGTCAAATTGGATCACAGCTTTCTGCTTCCCATATATTTTTGAGTTTTGTCTTCTTGGAGATAACACTGGCTTTCTTGTGTAATGTACGACCAACAATTGGTTTATTTGTTTTCAGGTTTTACTTAGTCAATGTCATAGGTTCCGTGCTTTGGTGCTCCTTGGAAGGTTTCTGGATATGGGATCTTGGGCTGTGGATTTGGTACTGATATTTTGCATTGTGGCAGTAAAATGTTTCTGTGGTTAATTAGTTTTTTGTTGGGTTATATGATGATATATGTGTATATATATATCCTATACTTGCAGGCCTTATCTGTTGGAATATTTCCTTACGTTTTAAAGCTCTTGCAAACAACTACTCCTGAACTTAGGCAAATTCTTGTGTTCATTTGGACAAAGATTCTTGCGCTTGATAAGGTGCATTCAGAAATCCTCTCACTACTATCATTTTTACTTCTTTCTGATGTCCATTAGCTGTTGTATCCTTAATTATGCTTCCTTTGGCCTATCCCCTTGTTTTTGGAAGAGGAATTAATGTAGGACAGATGGGTCAGATGGAAGAATGAGAGGATCATGGCCTATGTCAGGGCTGTGAACAGCATGGGGGAACAGTAATGTTAGGAAATAAGAGAGGAAATTAGTGAGGAAGAAGAGGGAAACAGCTACTAAAGAAAAACTTAAAGATTCTCATTCTAAATTAACATGAGAACACAAGTATTTATAAAGCAAAGAGCTTCCTAAACTCCTATTTCCACAGGAAATTAACTACTCGAAGAACTTTTAGGAACTTACCATCTAACAATGACTCCAATTTTTACCTCATGTATTAAATAACTAAAAAAAACCTCAAAGACAATTCTGGAAATTTCCAGTGACAACTAAAAGACCAAAACCCCTTAAGACCTAAAATGGAAACTACTAAACCTGAGAATAAAACTATGAACTTAAATATAGACACCATTCTTGTTCCTAGTTGAAGTGTGAGGAAAAAAGCTATAATTTTGAATTTCCTTGAATTCTTTGTTAACTGCATCAGGAATTTGTAGCTTTTGCCTTGCATGACATAACCTGTCCCCCCTGTAGACATGTATGTAAAGACCAAAATACCCCTTAAGACCTAATTAATAAGAACTAAAACTAAGAATAAAACTATGATGAACCTAAATAAAGACACTATTCTGATTCCTACTTGAAGCTTGAGGAAAAAAGCTTTAATTTTAAAATTCCTTGAAGTCTTTGTAAACTGCATCAGCAATTCATAGCTCTTGCCTTACATGACGTACACCTGCCCCACCTGTAGACATGCATGTAAAGGGAACTTTTTTCTGCTTTGTGAGTGATTTTTTTTTTTTTTTGGTTTTTTTGGGGGGGGGATTTTTAGTTTAAGATCCATAAACGGTTATTTGATTTAGTGCAATTTCACTTGCGCTTGCATGTGGTGTAAGTTGTGCTCGTTTACTAATGATTTATTGTGTCAATAGTCTTGCCAGGTTGATCTCGTGAAGGATGGTGGACATGCATATTTCATTAGATTTCTTCGACAGTGTTGAAGCTTACCCAGAGCAACGTGCAATGGCTGCATTTGTTTTGGCTGTCATTGTAGATGGTCACAGACGAGGTCAGGAGCCTGTATTGAAGCTGGTTTGATACATGTATGCTTGAGGCACCTTCAGGTTTCAAGTCCAGGTGATTCACAAACTGAACCACTATTTCTTCAGTGGCTGTGCCTATGTCTTGGGAAACTATGGGAAGATTTTGCAGAGGCACAAACCATGGGTGTGCTGGCAGATGCCTCTGCTGTATTAGCACCTCTACTTTCTGAGCCCCAACCTGAGGTTTGCTCTTTGCTTCCTTCTTGTGTAAACAAGGATTTCTTTTCTATAGAGCTTAGCATTTAATGTTTAGTCATCTTACTTCAGAAAGAACTGGTTCAGGTTCGAGCTGCAGCTGTTTTTGCTCTGGGCACTGTCCTCGATGTTGGGTTTGACACATCAAGAGATGGTGCTGGGGGTGAGGAAGATTGTGATGATGATGAAAAAGTTAGGTCTGAGGCCAGTATTGTCAAAAACCTTCTGAATGTTGTTTCTGATGGAAGTCCTTGGTTCGTGCTGAGGTGCTGTTGGTATGTTTTAGGCTGATCTTATTGGATGGAGTATCAGTGTTTATGTAGCTATTTACACAATGCCAACATCTCTTCTATAACTGAACTCTCTCTGCCCATAGAAATTGTGAGTTTGACTGAGTGCCTATGTGGTAGTTATAATACAAAATAGTTTCTGGCGGGCTAGACCCCATGCTGTGATGCTGGTTTACTTATTCTGATAAAGGATTGGGTGAACTGATTCACTTAGTACATCGCTTTTTGTGGAATATCCCAAGTGTATACTTCCTTTGTTTATGTTGGACCTACTGGGTTTCCTGCTCTCTAGTAAGATAAAACAGAAGTTATATGGTTACCTTTTTGAATTACTTTCAATGTTGGATCTGTTTTGCATGTGCTTGTTCCTGCTTGTATTTGCTTGTTGCATTTGTGTTGTTAAGTTGAAGTTGGTTTATCATTTAACTCATTTGCAGCTCTAGCTCGTTTTGCCTTTGGCCACAACAAGCACCTGAAATCTGTTGCTGCTGCATACTGGAAGCCTCAGCCTAACTCTGTGCTTGCTGCCTTGCCTGCGTTTGCAGTCAAGGGTTCAGGTAGTGGCTATACGACTCCAACACAATACATGCCTCATGGAAGTATTGTTCCATCTGCAGTTTCTCCTTTGCTCAGAGTTGGGGAAAACAGCCAGCCTGTAGTTCGTGATGCAAGAGTGTTTACCAGTAGCCCCCTTGCAACATCTGGAATCTTGCATGGCTCTCCTCTCTCTGATGATTCATCTCAGCATTCTGATTCTGGCATAGTGGCTGACTCCATTACCAATGGGGTAGTTAACCATGCAAGGCCTAGACCTCTTGACAATGCACTCTATTCACAATGTGTGTTGGCTATGTGCACTCTGGCCAAAGATCCATCGCCACGAATCGCCAGTCTTGGTCGTCGAGTATTATCTATTATTGGCATTGAATCGGTGGTTGCAAAATCAGTGAGGTCTACTCCTGGTAATGCCCAGCCTAGTGAATCCATGGCTAATGCCAGCACTAGTCTCACTGGACTAGCTCGGTCATCATCATGGTTTGATATGAATGGAGGTAAACAATCTTAAGTTTTACCTTATGTTCTCTGTTCTAAAATCTGGTTGTTAGAAAATGAAGTTTGCTGTTGCTGAGTTTCTTATTCTTGAGTTTGATTTTTCTTTTTCTTGTTAAAAGCTTTGGGACTTAGCATCTGTCTTCTTCTTATCATTCTCTAAGTCCTAATTTTATTCTTTGGTTGCTGTAGGGCATTTGCCTCTCACGTTTAGAACACCTCCAGTTAGCCCTCCTCGGCCTAGTTACTTGACAGGAATGCGGAGAGTGTATTCCTTGGAGTTTAGACCACATCTAATGAATTCTCCAGATTCTGGATTAGCTGATCCACTTTTGGCAACAGCTGGACCTTCTGGAGCTTCAGAACGCAGTTTTCTTCCACAGTCTACGATCTACAATTGGAGTTGTGGTCACTTCTCAAAGCCTCTTCTTACAGCTACTGATGATAGTGAAGAGATTATTGCCAGAAGAGAAGAGAGAGAAAAGCTGGCTTTGGACCGTATTGCAAAATGCCAACATTCTGGTATGCATTATGCTGACCAATTCTTATTTTAAGTTTTAACTTTTGACTTTTCAGTCTTAGGATAATTTCTTCTTCTTCTTTTTTTTTTTTTTTTTTTGGGAGGGGAGGATTAACAGCATCCTTGCCCTTTCTTTTGACAGCTGTGAACAGACTACGTGATCAAATTGCCAGTTGGGATGCAAAATTTGAGACAGGCACCAAACTGGTTTGCTGCAGCCCTTTTCTCCAGTCGTGGTTGCTTCAGATGAGAGTGAGACAATCAGGTAGAGCAAGTTTATTCTGCCTTCTAGTTTGATATATCTGTTGCACATTGCTTTTCATGACGAATTCGCATAGCTAGCAGGCAGAGATATTTGGTCACTTGTGATTTCCATACTTATGAATTGTATTGTTATCCTAGCAAGTTGCACTGTGGACTGAGGATGTCCATATGACAGCAACTTGCTTATCCAGGTTGTCATGCATATGCTATTTTTTGCGTACTTGGATATTCAAAATGCTAGATGTGATGAAAATGTTTTTGTGCATGGTTATGGGTCGGTTTAGAAGCTTTTGTTTTTTATTTTTCTTTTTGGGGTACAATGTGTTCATGAAGTTCTTTCTTTCCTGGGTATATTCTCATTTTTCTTGTTTGATAAATTTTGTTTTCTGTTGTATGTGATTTTGATCATTTTTCCATTCTTTGGCATATTACAGTGGCTTAAGAGGTGAAACTTGGATCATGAAAATGTTTCGACATCTTTTTACTTTTGTGCATGACAATTCAATTACTTCATGTTTGTGTCATAGAATCTGGAATTACGAGGAATCTACACTACTGAACAGTTTTGAGAATCATGATTACCCTGACAAAGGAATTTCAAAGCTGTGTCTTGTGAATGAACTTGATGAGAGCTTGCTGCTTGTTGCTTCAAGTAAGTCTCTTACTGAGCAATTAAGCGGTCATATATGCCCGACTTTTTAGAATTGAATATACTATTAAACTTTACGCAGGTGATGGAAATGTCCGGATTTGGAAGGATTATACTTCAAAAGGTCAACAAAAACTGGTTACTGCACTCTCTTCGATTCAAGGTCACAGGCCAGGCGTGCGGAGTGTGAATGCAGTAGTCGATTGGCAACAGCAGTCTGGATGTCTGGTACATTTTCCAACTTTCAATGTATCATAAACTTCCATGGGATGAGTGGCTGGGTGCAAGTTCACTGATGTGCATGGGCTGGCTTGCACGCCTTTTACTTTGTTATCTCTTGTTTGTCCCACAGTTTATGATACATCAATTGGTTGATTTGTGAACAGTTTGCTTCGGGTGAAGTGTCATCTATCATGGCATGGGATCTGGATAAGGAGCAGCTTGTAAATACTATCCATTATCCTCAGATTGCAGCATTTCAGCACTGGTGAGTTCTGTTGCAATTCTTATCCTGTTGAGTGAAATGGTATTGTTCCCTTGTGATTTTTATTATTATTATTTATCTCAACAGATTTTTTTAACCCTGAATCTGGATACAGCTTGTTGGACATTTTTGTCTTGTGACATATCTAACTAGCATATATGACCATGACATTACAGTCTGCTTCTCACATTCATGGGGGCCAGTTCGTGGCTGGTTTTTCGGATGGATTTGTGAGATTATATGACACTCGGACACCTGAAATGTAAGAATTGGTTAGACATTCTTTACATTTTTTCAGTTTTAAGGGCGAGAAGAATTATCTTCAATGCTTTCCACTTTCTTTTGGTTTGAAAAGCTATGCTTCTGTGATATAAATTGTTTCAGTATCTGCTTGAGATATTGAAATAATTTCACCAGGAAATCTCTGGTCTCATTCATAAACTTAAACATGTTATAAGAAACAAATGTTTGTGAAAGTTAGCATGTTGCGTTTTTTCTATCTTGTTTTCAACTGCACGTGTTTTTTTTTTCTTCTTTTGACTCTGCAAACGTTTAGAGAGATTTCTTTTCTATGGCTTTGCACTTCATACCTGACATTGTATTGATATCTATTGTTTAGGCTTGTTTCTGCAACACAACCGCATACACAGAGATTAGAAAAAATTGTGGAATTGCCTTTCAACCTGGACTTGAGCCAGGAAAGGTAAAATGCATACTCCTATCTGCTGCTACTACTTCCTAGTGAATGAGAAATCATATTCAAATCAGTTATTTACCTCAGATCAGCATAAACTCTTGTACCATTTTTTTTTTTTTGGGCTCAGATTGTGAGTGCCTCGCAAGCTGGCTATATTCAGTTCCTTGATTTGAGACATCTCAGGGATACGTATCTCACAATTGATGCTCACCGGGGTTCACTTACTGCTTTAGCTGTCCATCGACATGCTCCCCTTATTGCTAGCGGCTCCGCAAAGCAGCTTATCAAAATCTTCTTGGAAGGAGAGCAATTAGGCAGCATTCGATATTACCCAAGTTTCATGGCCCATAAGATTGGGTCTGTTAGCAGCCTTACCTTCCATCCTTATGAAGTGTTGCTGCTGCTGCACTGCAGATGCTTGCGTTTCTATTTATGCTGATGCGACATCTACTGCAAGATGAGGATACTTGTAATGGCTTTATGAGACTTTCCTTACTGGTGGCTGATTGAAGATAAAAGAGTTCTTCAACAGAAGGATCTTTGGTGCAAATGAAGCGTAGAATGACAATTTGCTCCTTTTTGCAGTGAATGTGCTTAAAATACAAAATGACACCACTGCCTTGGAAGATGTATGTTACATATTCATTAAGTCTCTGCATTTAGAGGGTTGCCCAAAATTGGGAGCATCATCGCATTCATTGGAGGCTTTGGCAAATAATCAAAATACGTAGGTAAAGAAAGGTGTAAATATTCTCTATTCTTCTGCTTCCTTTCTGCTTAGCTTGCACCTTTTGATATTTAGTACCTAATCTCTCCCTTTTGTTTCCATCATGGTCTGCTCATCTGAGACTTTGTTCAATTTGTACAGTTAACAAGTTAAATATAAATTAAATTGGTTGTAAGCAGTTATCGGTTGTATTCCCCTTCCAAGAACCGTTTACATCTTATGGTTTGGTTCTATGCTGCACTGAACATGTTGCAAGGTTTTTTGTTTAAAAGTAGACTGGATTCTATACTTCTTGCTGATAGTTTGAGCAGCTTGTTGAAATTCTCTACTCTTGTGCAACTGCAGTATTGTACCTTTTACTGAATGGAAGGCATTTGTATTCTATTTTCCACTGGCGTTCCACAGGTATACTATTATTTGATTGGGCAGTTTGTCTGTAGCTCTCCTTTTTTTTTTTTTTTTTTCAAATCAGCTTTACTGCACTTTAGATGGTATTGAACTGGGTTCCCTTTATTTAAATTGCCGATGAAGTTCTATGACACAGAGTATGCTTTTAGTTAGAGACTTGCTAGCGATCTCCAGATGTTTGTCCCGCAATAGTTTTTTATATCAATTTCATTACACGATGGATCTTATTTTTCTCGTAATATTTGAAGGTACACTAGTTCAGAAATCTTCTAAATATTTGATGCCATGATTCACTTGATTTTATTTTTTTTTTGGTTCAATTGGTAACATCTAGGGTATCGTGATGTACAATGGAGGGGCAAATCCAAATTGGCTCGTTAAGATTAAAGGGACGTTGTGGCCCACACTTTGAATTTTTTTTTTTTTTTTTTAATTGTAAGGTGTGAGTTTGAATCTCAATCTATAGCCTAAAGAGGAGTTTAAAAATTTTACTCGAGAGGTTTTAAATCTCTTTTAATGGTCAACTTACATATAATAAGTTAATTTTATGATTCACTTGAAAGAATATATTATTATTATTGAAATTTCTGATACGTAATTCTCCTAAATCTTATTTTGTCATGACCCCCTTCCCTCTCTTTTTTGCAAGCGTCTCTCCTCCCTGCGGGCCGGGCCCCCAACTACTGAAGGACCACCAGAAAATGCCTTTCGTTTTCCCCTCGTCATCAGCCCGAACTCCATGCTGGACGCCATTGGAGATTCTGTTAGGATGGCGAATTAGAAAGTATCTACTGTGGAACCTGAAGTGTGAATATCCACAAAACTATGATTACAAACGTTATGGCCATAAAGTTAGAAATATCTACTCTGAAACATGACTTCCAAAAAGGGCATATAAATGAGAAAAATGTACACTATATAGACATTCTCAAATCCAGCAAACATGGCATAACGTAGTGACTAGGCATAAATCAACAAGCTGTATTCATTTTCCTCCCTGGCCATGCCATGGCCGTTAGTTCCAGATAGAGGAGTTGAATTGCTTGTCATCTTAAATCTCCCGTCAGCGTTTCCAAGAACATTAAGATCTTCAAACAGTCTATATGATGGAATAAAGGGCTTGTGTCCCCCAGGACCAAGCCGTGCATCTCCATTTGTAGCTGACACATTGCTTCCACTTACAGGTGTCATGCTCGTATGCTGTGAAGTTCTGGTTCCTTGTGAAGAGATGGATGATGTGGCTTGAACTGTTGAATATGCATAAGGAGATCTAGACAAAGGATTCGGGTTGCTAAAGTAACCAGGTGTGGCGGCCCATGGTGGTGGAGGGTAGCCAGTAGAGTATTGGTCAAGCGTTGGTTGAGCTTGGGGCCTAAACTGTGATTGAGGATCACGTTGGCTATAAAATTGAGAATGATACTTAGGCTGCGGCATTTGAGACTCCTGTGCTAATTGTTGCTGTTGCGGCTGCGGTTCAAACTGTCGTTGAGGCTGAGCTTGAGGTTGAGCCCAAGGAGTAATGTAACTATTGACGGACTGGGATTGGTTATAAGCACGAGACACAGAAGAGTTGTCATCTCCGGAGCTCAGTGCAGTCCCCTCGTGTAGGTTTTGCTTTAAGGAAGTAGATGCCTGAGGGGGGCGGGTGACATACTAGTTGACAGCGTAATGCTCAAGAGGTCTATCACATCTTGCTCTTTTGTAGTTCTAGCTGGTGCTGGTGGATCAGCAAGAACTAAAGCATCGCTCATGCCCAGGGTGGAAGATGCTTCCTGAGCTCTCATATCGCTGCTGTTACTTAGAGTGCCACCATCACTGCCTCGCATGGTTGAAGCCGGAGTAGCAGATTGTTTATTTTTGAGTGCCTGCAAACACAAGCAAAATTTTAGAAGAAAACATGAATCAAAGTGGAGAGAGCCTTTTGGATGCAGACCAAACATCCAGAACCCCAAACAGCAAGGATACCATCATGTATCCACAAGTCCCAAGGTTTCTTCAAACATTTAGTAAATGAATCCAAGAACTTCAAAACCTAAACACATATTACTGGCATTACAAAAAAAATCCAACGGAACAATGAGACTGCCAATCTGTCATGTGAAGTTGATGACAAGTATAGCACATGAAATACAAATATAAATGAAGAAATACCTTCGTGCCAGCTGTGCGAAGTCATCTTCCTCTTCATCATCTTCATCAATCTGAATCCTGGGAACTGGTGAAGGGTTACCATTAGTTGTTTCACTCCCTTTTACAGCATTATCTTGTTTGATGCTAGAATGATGTTTGTCATTCAATTGGAGGTTGTGATTTGTCAATTCAACTGGCAGAGGTAAACCAGATGCTATAGCATCATGTTTTGCTAGCACATTTTGGAGGTTATCATTTAACTCCAGGCCCTGAGCTAGAAGTTCTTCATCCCTAGCACAAACATAATACACAGATCCACCAGCAAACCACTTCAGCAAGAACACCCAGTGAAACAGCAATACATGCAGAGACCAAAATACACACGCGCACACACAGAGACACAGAGGGAGGGAGGGAGGGAGAGGGAGAGAGAGAGACCCTGTAGTAGTCAACATCTGCATCAATTTCTTCTGGTTGGAACGACATTGCTCAACAAGATCAAGTATCACTTCATCTTTTACAGCCTACAGAGAAGTAAATGTGAGAGAATTTTCTGAAAATTTCGGAACCATGAACAGAATAGAGAGTTTTCTACCGAGTGATCACTTGGATTGACAGCTTGAAGCATGTCAGCTAAGAGATCCAGAACATCGCGCATAGACCCTATGTTTGACAAACTATAACCACAAAAATAATCCAAAATCAAACTATAAGCTAACAAAAAATATAAAGTGAAACGTAACAGACATAGAACACAAGATTTAGGAAGAAAAAAGTCATAACAAAAAGAAATGGTAATGGGGCCTTTGTCCTATATGTGCAAATGAAAATCGGGTGATATTGTGTAAAAATTTCGAAGGTAATTTTAACCTTAAATTTTCCATTTCTGCAGCCATGGCTTCATCAAGCCTAGTAGAGGAATTGCTTGGCATTCCATAGCCAGGCTGTGGATGTCGTGGTGTTGGATGCGTCATAGGAGGTGTAAATATAGGAGCTGTATCTAATGATCGCTGGGGAAAGCCCACACCGGAACGCTGATACATGCAGAATCACAAATAACACATAATAATCAACGTGGCTGCAGGGTGGCTTATGCCAAGTTAGGCAATAAACAGCATTCATAGAACATTACGCAGGTAATGTGGTATTGCTGAAAAAAGGTCATTTGTCAGCTTCATTAGAGTGCCTTCAAGGCCTGCTACAGTCTACAATGTAACATCATGCTTACATTGTTCTCTCATTTTTATTTTTTTTTTATTGTTCTTTATACATGAACTATACAACTTACTCTCTCTTAATTTAATAAATTGTTATTCCATGAATCCAGTTTATCTTTAATAAATTCTATTACTTTTGAGTTGAGGGTGTATCAGAAAAAATTCTGAAGAAATATGAAAAAACTGAAGCAGCACAATTCACCATATAAAATAGCTATCACCAAAATAAAATTCAGATAATAAAATCATTCAAAGATTAATGGAATCAAGTAATAATAGCAGCTTTAAGCAAACAGTCAGCTGTAATCCAAAATTGGACTTACCCTTAAGTCCTCATACGCCCAGTAATATTGGGGATATTTCCCTCCAGGGCCACCAAATGCCTCTTGCCAAGAGTCCAACAACATCAGTATTTTGTCTCTAACATGCATATCAGTCTGAAAAAAGAGTTGAAGCAACTCTATTGGAATGAATCCTAAGTGACAGGTTAAGCATGCACACCCAGAAAACAAATAAAAGTTGAGATACTTTACAGGTAGGGAAATGAAGGTCCAAAAAAAAAACTAAGATTTAAAAAAAGAGAAGAAAACAAAACAAAACAAAACCACCCTCAATTAAATGACTTCTGAGGGATTTAGGTTTCATGGGTCATATCTTTGTTAATGCTGAAAATAGGTCACATTAAGCATTGCGAAGGCTCGTCGTACTTAAAGAGTATATAAACTTCCACAGTCTTAGCAGTGCAATTGCACAGCATTATTAAAAAGATTTTCTAACTACTCCCAACTCCATAGCAGCATTCAACTATTTGAATGTGATCACTATTAGAGACAACAAACTTGCAATTTGTCCTCTGCCACCACCCAAGTTACATACTCTATGGCTCATGCCACAGGCAATGCTGTTTTCATCACCGGTAGATCATATACGGACCCATGAAAGATTCGAAGTTGGAATTTAACAGAAGCACCCCAATGAAGTCACCCTACTTTCTTATTCAAATATGCAATATCACTAGCAGAGGATATCTGACTCGAACAAAATCTTCTTACAATGAACTCACAGGCATGCAAATAACAGAAATCTAATTGAAGCCAAAATATTAGCACGCTGTGTCATACTTTCAGAAATGGCTAGTACAGTCCCAATCAGGAAAAAAAAAAAAACACGTGCAGAGTTCTAACGTAAGGGAAACTAAAATGTTTATCAACACTCAGACTCATAGTCCCTTGCAAACGAAGAAAACTTGCCTTTTTCTTTACAATTTTGACCATCTCCTGTAAAATGTTCCTATCAGCTATCTGAAAATGGACGTAATCACCACAATTCTTCACCATTGTCTCTAGAAGCTATACAATATATAGGGCCACGGTTAGCAAGCTGCAAAGGTGAAGTAGAGATCCAACAAAATAGAATTGAAACAAAAGCTTCCATGTATGCCAGCACCACGATTAAAAGAGACAATAGGAAAAAGAAAAACCAAGTGCTTGATACCAGTTCTAGTTAACAGCAACCCACAGACATTTGCAGCAAATAACAGAACAACTCCCACCCAACCCCCCCCCCCCCCACCAAAACCAAAAAAAAAAAAAAGGACATGTTTTCTTTGAAGCATCATGTAAAGTGCAACTGAAGACAAGAATTCCAAATCAATTACCGTCAAGGCAAGTAGTTGAACTTTAGGGTTCTTGTGCTGCAATCTTTTCTTCACAGCTTTGACAACATCTTTTGCAAGCCTGAGCAGTATTTTTTTTAAAAAAAAAAAAAGAATAGAATGGAAGAATTCAGTGAATCCATTTCTTTCAGTCGGCAAAATGACGTAAAGATTATGAGTTTCCAACATGGATGAATTGGAAGGACTAGGACAAAGTACACAAAGGGCATGCCTAAGGTTTTCCCTTTCTATCTGTTCTTTGCCAAACACCTTAATGATATACTACGGAAGACCCAAGAGTTGATCCCCACGATCACAAATTCACAATTCAAAGGTAGGAATCATATGAGCAACAAAGCCCACCTCGTTCTCATTTATGTCAAGCACCTACCAACGCCATCAAAAGCTTGAAACTCCTCCATTTTAAATTCACAAGTTAAGTTCAAACATCAAATCAAAAAATAATTCCTTCTACCCGTGTTACAGACCCCTAAAAAACCCAATAAGCACAGCCTTGAAATTCTAGTCGAATGGTAATATCGTACCAACATAAACAATATAACATATGCCTGTCAGCCTCTGTGGACTGAAATTCTAGTTTCCTAAATCTCAAAACAAAATTCGCTGCACCAAAATAAAAATAAAAAAAAAAGGAAAAAAAAGTCCAGAAAATCCAGTATTCCCAGAAGAAGGACAAAAAGTCAGCTTTTGAAGGAAAATTCAACACCTTGGACAAAAGGTGCCAAAATTCTGAGGACAGTTAAATTAAAAAGAAGAAGAAGAAGAGAGGTATTTGTATGCATACATAACCACAAAGAACGAAAAGTTATTTTTTTTTAAAAAAAAAAATACCACTGATTGGAGTTGAGGGTATCGCATATATCAATATTCATAGTCCAATCGGGACCGATCAAGAACTCGCTGGTGGCCTTCTCCACTCGAACTATTGCCGATGATGACGAAACTGTGGCTGTATTATAAGAAGAAGATGGTGAAATTGATGGCATCATCATTTTGTTCTTTCTTCCTCTTCCTCTTCTGCTTGGGTAAATTGGAAAGCTTTCTGCTGGAACACTAGTAGAAAGAAGGATTAACAAGGAAGGAGAGGAGAATTGAAAGACTCGTCAGGGTTGTGGTTTGTCGTCAAGGGTTAAATTTCAAAGAAAAAACCAGCCTTAGCTATTTGCCAATAGTGGTATAATATGTGGATATTGGATGCATGGATTTTTTCAACTCACTGGTGCGGAGTGTATTTCGTTTACAATTTATACAAATATAGAGCGAGAATTTAAAAAAAAAAAAAAAAAAAGAGAGAGAGAAGAAGAAGAATCCAATCCAAGAAGAAGAACCCGTTTAATCTTTTGTGCTTTGCAGCTTCTTTCTTTCTTTCTTTCTTTCTCTCTCTCTTGTAAGAAACTTTTTGTATATAGTTGTATTCCTTTGATGATGACGATATGATGCTAGTAGCGTATTCCCCGTATTCTTCTACCATTTTCTCTTTTATGCCTTTGTTTGGGATTGGGGGTTTCTCTCTCCTAGTCTCCTGGTTTATCTCTTTCTTCTTTTTTGGTCAACTTTTGTTGTAATAAAATATCTTTTCTCCCGAAATTTCGTTTTACCTTTTTCTTCTCTCCCTCTCTCTCTCTCTCTCTCGTTGTTGCACAAAAATGGGAAAAAAAAAAGAGGAAGAAAAAACGAAAGATGAAGAGGCAGAGGAAGAAAACAGGACAGATAAGAGACGAGAGTGGGAGGTTTTTAGTTGGGTTCTTCAGCAGACGCGCCCACTTAATATTCTTTTATTTACTCCACTCGCCAGTCTCTTCCCCCGGCACTGAATAATTAATAAATGGCACAACACTCTGATACCGTTTGGATTGTTATTTTTCAAAGTATTTTCATAAAAAAATTAGTGCAGTGATTTGATGAATATAAAATCAAAAGGTGATTATAAAAAAATTAGTATAGTAATTTGATGAATATAAAATCAAAAGATGATTAAGAAATGAGTTCACATATCCAAAAAAAAAAAAAATATTCTCTGGATGATGCTCAGGGATGTTTGTACACCAATTCATCGGCCGTTCCTTAAACCGCATACTAACAAAGAAATTCTCAACCTTTCTTCTTCAACATTTCTCTACGACTAGTTAAATACCATACCATTACAACAATTGCTTAATCTATTAACACCTTTGTTCTCGCACGAATTAATGGATGGTGCACTTGGAGAAAAGCCACCCGAATTTTGGTTCTTATCAAAATTTGGAGCATTCTGATGAACAAATTCATAAGATCTTATTCTTCTTGAAATTAATTTTTAAAAACAAAACAAAGAGGGAGAAAAATGAGATAAAGAGGTTGGGGTTCTCATAACTATTAGTACATATACAGATTAATATGGCATATGTAGACACTAAAATATTAACATGCGAACACCATATTAGTATACTATATACTAAAATTTGTGTTATATTTATTGTTGGGATAATTTTAGAAACCTCTCCCGAGATTTCTAACTATTTCACTAGCCTCCCTCCAGATTTTAAAAATTACACTAATCTCAATTGAGATTCATTATCTTGTAACATCTAAACCCAATCAACAATTAAAAAGTGATATTAGAATAGAGGAGATAATATGATTACACCATTGCCTTCATCTACTAAATTATTTAACTAATTTAACGCTAGCTCAAACATTAAATAAAACATTAGAATTTATTGTTTTATTATTGGGGATTAAACATTTAAACCACATATGGCATGTAGAATAGTATATCATTCTACGTATTTCACTTAATGTGAGATTCAAATTGTTCTTTTCAGTTACAAATCCATTGTCAAACATTCTGAACAATAAATAATTAAAAAAATGTAATTAAAATATTACAAAGAGCGAATTTTAATGTCATAAAAATCTCAACATCTAACCTTAATATATTGATAAGATTATTTATAATGTTAAAGTTTGTTCTGTGTAATATCTTGATTGTAAATTTTTTTGATTATTTATTATTGATTATATTTGACAATGGGTATATAACTGAAAATAGTAATTTGAATATTATATTAAATTAAAAAATATATTATAATATACTATTTTTTAATGCTATATGTGATTTGATTCATAATGATAAATAGAAATTTTAAGTGTTTTTTTAATGTGTGGATCAACATTCAATTAACTAAATAATGTAATAAATGACGGGTAATAATGGAATCATATTATTTTTCTCTCATAATATCATTTTTAATTATTGATTAGGTCTGAATATTGCGAGATAATTAATTTTAAAAGAGGTAAGTATAATTTTTAAAATTTAGAGGGAGGCCAGTGAAATAGTCAGAAAACTTATAGGAGGTTTCTCAACTTATCCCTTCATTGTCTTAGCGTTTACAATTATATATAATGTAGCGGTCCCAGGATGCTCCAGTTGTATTGTACGGGAGACGGCAGGGGAGAGCCGGAGCGTAAAGATTATACGCGAAGAAACGAGAGTGGTTGAAAGGCTTTGACTACAAAGCCTTTGCTGGGGTTTGGAACAAAATTAAATTTTGGTTAAGCAAAGGTGGGCGTGATGTGATGCGCTAAGAATTGTGAGTGGTACAAGTCAAACAACATGGATATATAAGAGAGAGGGATGTATTCTGGTTGGAGCCGCTTTTGTTTGTCATCTCACAACTTTCTTCTTCCTTTTTTCTTTAATTGGGCATCTGTTGGGCAATGGGGCGGGGTGGGCGCCAATATCACAACCACACGTAATAAAATGGATGACTCGAACGAATTTCAACATGTTATAATTGGATAATATGTACTTGTGTTAAAGGCATACCAGTGTGTGTAATTTAAGAATAAATTAATTTTTATATAATTTTTAAAATGAAATTAGGGCTATCAACAGGTCAGATTTGAACTCGAATCGGGTTCGAATCCTGTTATTTTTTTCGGATATGGGTCGAGAAATAATTTCGGTACCCGAACTTGGATCTGGACTCCGACCCAAATCCATTTACTCTAACAAAAAGCGGATCGGATACGAAATATAGGATTTCGACTCGTATCCGACTCGAACCCGAAAATACATTAATAATTATAAAAATACAAATATTTCTAAATATATTCTTTTATTAAATTAACAAAAGTATTCTTTTACCAAATTACCCATATCCCAGACGAAGCATTTAAGAAATTAGGATCTGGAAGAGGCAAACTTGTTTGACCAAAAATGTATTCATCACAAGTTACATATAAGTGCTTTTTACTAAATATCCTCGGATCATGTTGGGCATTTTTGATGAAGACACCAACCTTCGTAATATGTACAAAATTTTGTTTGTAATTGCGGTTCAGGATCAAGATTAAGATACCAACTTTCGGTTTCTACCGAGAATCCAAACTTATCGGTCCAACTAGAATTTCAATGGAGTAGTAAATTAACATATACAGGGAGCACTAATCGGACTCCTAAATAATGCAGTTACCTACATTTATAATTATCTTTTTAGGGTTAATTGCAGCTCGTACCCCTCAATTATTCCTTAGTCAAACGTTTTAGCACTACGCGAAATCAAGCTAAACTGGGTGGCAAAAATGGTGTCCTAACCAATCTACCCTCAACTTCTTTTTGAACTTCCAAAAGTCCCACAGAAGGGGAGGCAAATTTCTTAAGAAAACAAATTACCTTTTTTTTAATTTTTCTTAATAAACAAAGTATTACCGGACACATCACTCACATATAATGAAGTTTTTAACAACTTAAAAGTTAATGCAATTTTTGGAAAATAATAAAACAATCAATTTTATGTCATTTTACTTTTGATTAAAAAAATCTCTTTACTTGTAAATTGCTTAGCTTGTGTATTACAACTACCAATCGTTCAATTAATTTAATCAGACTTATTCAACGATCTTTAGTTCTTAATGTATCATAACGTCGTTAGCTAAAACAAAGAAAAAGAAAAAAAAATTAGAACATTCTTATCAGCACTATGTCCCTGCATATCGAAATCATTAGCTAGTTAACTTATACACGTCAAGCTCCAATTCTAATAGGTAAAGAGTTCTTCATTTAGTCCAACAGGCAACGGTTTAAAATCGACCAATTTCCCAAAATAAAAAGGCCCTAATAAATCCCACACTAATACCTATAAAATCATATAAGAAGAAGATAAAATTACACATTTTCCCAAATCCGAATACCACCCAATGGTCAACTCCATGACAACTTGGTTCTTGCGGCATCATCAACGAGCCGCTCAGTGCCGGTGAAGGAAACATAAGATGGTGTTGTCTGTTACCTTGGTCATTAGGTTTCATTTCAACATGGTCATGTTGCCGAAATCGTTCTTTTTCTTAGATTTTATGCTAGCAATTTTATTGAAGAATAGAAAAGAAGAAGAGACCAAAAAAAAAATAAAACAGAGAGATAGATACCAAGAAGAAGGCGTCACAGAGATCACGCACATGATGTAAATAAGAATTTTGTGGAAGTAAGAAGATCCTCTTATTGATTATTGCAGCCCTATCTTTTTAGCATTTTGATTAGAATTTTGAGCTGCAGAAGCCCAAACTGTTTTTTACTTTTTATCAGGTGGATTTTGGAGACCTATCCCTCTTGATAAAAAAGGGCATTTTGGGAGGAGAAGAAGAAGGGCAGGATTTGATAGTCTTTTACTAATCTTTGGCTGGATAAGATCTCATTAGTTTGCCGAAATTTAGCCTATTGTAGTGCATTGCAAAAAATCAAAAGTTGAAGCCAGTTAACTGCAGAAATTAGAAGTTTAGGATTGGAAAAATTGTTCAAAACATCCCTCACATTTTGCAAGATGATTTTTTTCGTTCTTCATTTTTAAAAGTGTAATTTTATGTCCCTTACAAATTCATATTGATTAAATTTGATCTCTACTTAGATTTCCGACTAGTTTTTTGTCGGAAATCCATCACGTGCCTTGCACATGATCATTTTTTAAGGGCATAATTATCAAATCAAATTTTATATAATCCAATTCATAGTCTCTTACATTTCGCAAAATAAATTTTTTCGTCCCTAACATTTTACAAAATGAATTGTTTCGTCCCTCACATTTCACAAAATGAATTTTTTCATTCCTCACATTTTTTAAAATAGATTTTTTCATCCCTAATTGATTATGTGTACGAATAGCTTTTTTTTTAAAAAAAAAAAATCTATGTATATATTTATTTGATTTTACTTGAACAGTACGAATAACATGTAATATATTTCTATTTGATTTTAGTTAAACAGACTAATTGTAGTTGTATATATGCTATTCAACAGATATATACAGGGGCTTAAAATTAACAATTTTGTTGTAAATCCATGTATATATCTAGATGATTTCATCATGTAAACCTATTCAATATTTGTGACCTTTCTTTTTTGATAATAATTTATTTATTGAGATGTATAATAAAACCATCTAATTAATGGGTACTAACTTGAATTATATAGTCGT